TAACCGGAAGAACGTATTTCTAACTGCCGTGATCCGAGTTATAATATCATCTTTTGCCTGTCCATTTGGTAACTAATACCACTAAAATCTTGCAAATACATCTTAGTAATAAAATTCACAGATTTCAAAATTTTACAGCCATTCATCAATGGTTTAAGAAGAAGATTCTTATCATTTTGGATTCTCATACCTAATTGAGAGAAATGGAAGAAATTAAGTACTTACTACACTCTATGATACTGACGCCAGAGGCACTAACCAAGCAATCGTTTCAGTTAATTTTAGATATGGTATCTAATAGAGAGACTTAGAAATGCCCTTACAGTCAGCTAGCAAAACCAGCAGCGGTGCGAGCTATTATAAGAAATGAATTAGTAATTACGCATGCGCAAAAATCAAATCAAATAATCAAATAAATATGATAAATTTGTAGTAAATTCTTAACTATCAATTTATTAAATTTCTGGTTAGATTACGGTAATTTTAGGGCCAAAAAACCACAAAATAAAGTGCTTAAACAATACAAAAAATTAAATGAATAAAACTTTAATTCATAAATATTTTAATTAGTATTATTTGGCCTGTAAAGTTTTTATTAATAATTTTTTTCGTAAATTTATTTATATTTTAATTTATCAATTATTTATTTACCTTCAATGCTTTAATATTTTTTTATATTTATTATTTTAATTCAATAATCTCTCTTTTAAAGAAGGAAAATTTAATTAAAAATTGAAGAATACTTCAAATGAAATGCTGAATTTAAATAATTTATTTAAATAAGCAAATTTCTCCTTTTCAGCAATGTTCATTCAGCATTTCTGGTTTAATTGATTCAAATAACTTAAATAAAATAACTGAATATTGCCTTTTTAAATTATATTGGGCATCGTGGTTTACACTGCTGCAAAAGTAAATCTGTTCATAGAAAAATGGTGTCGAAGTTAAGCCCATAATTAAAAACTCCAGGTGGAGGAATCTATTCTTCTATTCCCATCTTATTAACAAATCTAGCCAAAGATGGTGAATGCAAATCACTTATTCACTTATATACTAGATGAATACTAGATGAAACTTTTACTTCAGAGAGTCACTTGATGATATATTTTTGATCAGAGTGTGGAGTAATTCTCGAAATGAATCAGAACATTCTTCAAAAAGAAATAACTCTAACTCTAACTTTTCTAACTATTCGGAGAATAATTTGGAACAGTTTTCAAAACTTCTGGCTAACTCTCGCTTTTAATTATCACTCAGGGAGAGGAGTGACACCACCATTTGGACAAAGAGATCAAATAATTAAGTGGAACGTGAGATTTAATATGCATTCGAAAATTAGTATGGAATATATTAATAAAAATTTAATGAATACCAACAGAGTATATTCAAGAAAGTTCATGCAAAAATTTTTTTGATCACACAATTTGCATTTTTGAATAATGGAAATTTTTTAAAAATTTTTTTCCATGATTTCTTTTTGTGCAAAACAAGGCCATTGTACATTGCGCAATAAAAGCTATTTTGCGCTAAAATAGGTCATTCCTTCTTGGCTTTTAGTTTTTGGACAAGAAAAAAATTTTTTCGATTAAAATCTGATACTTTCTAATATCACGGATAAAGCCATACCTTAATCAGATTCTCAGTTACATACCAATGATATAAACAAAATATAAATGTAAAACTAAACAATAAATCATAAGCCAAACTATAATTACCTAAAGCAGTGGTTCTCGAAGTCAGTACACTCATCAAAATTACTGCAAATTTTTTTTTTAAACTATTAAATATTATAGTATCATTAGTATAAAAGAAAATCAAGTATAAATATAAGTACCATTTATCGTATTAAGATTAAGAAATTTTTTAAACATGCGATAAAGTTTTTCTTCACTGTAAAATTCATAAAAGGCTTTAATTAATTATAAGCCTACTTGCTCCCAAAAATGCAAATAAAAACGTCTCTATGTAATATCAAAACGATATTGAAGATATTTGAAAGGGCGGAAAGGAATAACAGTTTTCAAACAATACTTTGAGAACTGGTCTAAAGAAACTGCGTTTAATTTCACGGTGTCCGCAGTCAGATCATTTTTTCATTTCGGAACAACGGTACTGAGGTTTTATTCCTGGCTTATGAAAAAAATGAGTCAACTATATTCCTTGACAAATTTTGTTTGATCAGCAAGATAGCAGCAGATCGAGTCTAACTAGAAATAAAAATAGAAACGCAGGAATAATTTTTTTTAGCTATGTTCAGATCCTTTGTTTTTTAAAATAATGATTTATTAAACAAGTTCAAACTTATTCTTCTATCTTTTTTTCTTCTAATAATATTACTCATAATTACCCATAATTACATAGGTACAAGGATTCCAAGTTCTTTGATCCGATTCCATCGCTGTCTATAATAGAAGTCATTTCGTCATTTCTTTTTCCACCGTCGAAGTCCATATATCCATCTATACAGACAAAATATTCCTTGAGTCATACCAAGTTTTGTTTGTCGCTTTTGAGGTCATTCATCATGGGGTAATATCTGAGCGAAGATGGATGCACAATCATGTGATTTTATTCGCTCGACAAACCCGTAAAATGCATCTTAAAAATGAGTGGCTGAAGGTAGATAACTCCTAATATCTTCCATTCTAATCGCTATGTAACAAGATAGGATTGCAATTATCTAGAAGCGAACTTTCGTTTTGATGGTGATTTTGTGACGATTCCATAGAAATTTAAGAAAGTATTCCTAGCTACAATTATCCAGGTTGTAATTTCATTTTTCACTAGGCAGTTTGGTATTAGAGTGGATCCAAGATATTTAAAATCTAGCACTTCCTGAACCGACACTGAATTGACGAAATATAATTGAATTGAAGGACTCCAAAAATATTTTATACAGCACCTCTCTCCTAATTACAATTTTAATTATAAAAGAAAACTTCCACTATATAACCTGGATTCTCTGTCAGTTCGTCGTATTAAACAAGATTTAATTTAATTTATGCTTATAAGTTTTTATATGGTTATGTTAAACTGAGGATACATATATATAGATTATATTATAATTTTAGGTTAAATTTAAGTCCAACAATAACTAATGGGCTAAAATTACTAAAACCTATGTGTAAAACTAAATTAAGGACACATGACTTCTTTATTCGTAATATTAATTACTGGTAAACTACCGAACGATATAGCTTGTGCGCCATCCCTAGCTATTTTTAAAAAAGATTAGATAATATCATTTGTGATATTATTTAAAAGATCCACGTCATGCAGGAAATGTGAAATCTCGATTTTTGCCATCCGATTATAGTTATTTCGAATTGTACTATATTATATTATTTTATAATTTCCTTTTTATTTCATCCTCTTTATTAAATTGTTAATTTTATTTTAATATCATTTTTTTTTTGCCATTAATTCTTATTATTTGTTATTTTACTGTTGCTATTAATATAAGCACATGGCGTTCCTGCTTGGCTGGTTTTCAATAAATAAATAAAAGGGCACTTTATCAGCTTCTGATATTTAAGACGAAAAGTCTTTTGTTTTATTTATATTAATTTATTTATTCTTATTCTTATGATAAAACAATCAAATATTATTTTATCATAAGAATAAGAATAATCATCATTGGTTGGACTTTTAATCATCATTGGTTCGACTTTTACAGCTCGCAGAATGAGCTGAGATCATTTCAAAAATATTCACAACTGCTGGCTAAATATCAAGTTAATTAGACCAAAGGCAAACCGACTGATTCTACGATACAAAAATAAATGATGGTCATCTCAAATTACGCATTGATTGATAGGTAATGCATTTGAGATCAGTAATTATATAATGAATCCAGACACGCAAACTGAAATGATTGTTGACGGTTTCTTCCGGCAAAATGTGTTTAAACAGCAGTAGCACTGTCATTCCAACAATACGCCACCATAAATAATCCATAATCATTTTTATCCACCACCACACAGAGCCACAACTGTCAACAAGCATCATCCCATCTATTATCGACATTTCGACATTTTTCATCATTTACGCTTCAATTAATTTTTTAGACGATTCGATATGAAATTTCACTATCGAATGCGATAATTTAATAAGTGATTATAAGAATATAAAAATAATAAAAATAATATAAAAATAATAAAAATTTATAATAAAAATTTCAATGGAATTGTGGAATTGTGAATTGCTTTTAACATCATCACTGAATAGAAAATATATGATTATCGGTATTTTTAACTTTATTTTAGAGAAAAATGAACGCATCGGATGAGACTCATTTGTCTGCCTTCCATTATGGCAATTCATTACCATCGGTAATCTCAGCTGCTAAATTGCTACGTTTAAAAACAGGTTTGCAAAGAATATTACATACATGATCTTTTTTTTCTATTCAAGAAACACTGTAGCACCGAGAAGACTAAAATCAAGTTTAGATCCAAAAGAAGGTTCTGAGACGTGGAAAAATCTTATTAAAAATCGCATTTTTCTTCATAAAGGATGGTCGAATAGCTTGCTACTTCAATTGAAGTCGAGTATCACGCTTCGATCCCTGTCCCTTGGTTGGAGTAAATTTACCATTAAAGCGAAGTTTGGGTTCTGATTCTGATAAGATAATTCCATATTCCCTTATCAAAGATCCTACCCTATTAATCAATGCAGCCAACGAAATGACAAGATGCCAAATATTTTATTATTTTGATGTCAATAACTGCATAATTATTTCAAATATAGATTAGACTATAGGAAAATAATATCATTCATTGTTGTTAAATATTTGAATAAATTTGCTATTCAAGGGCAGCATGACCAAATGCCCAGAATCGTTTCCAGAATCCGGCCACTGCCGCTGGCTACATAGCGACCATTAAGAAATCAGGCTAGGATCTGTTCTTAAGTGACTCTCATCATGGAAATAGCGAGTCCAACCAGAAATGAGTGTGAATTAAACTGCTGATGAAAATTTTCATTACTGTGGATACTAATCAATTATAGCCAATGATATTCATCAAATAAGTCGTATGTCGCTTCACTAATTTTGCAGTCTTTTTGCAGCTGAAACGCGTGATGAAAGCAAATTTGATAGAATCAGTCCGTTCGCGCCAGAAGCTCGAGTACCATTGCAATCTGAATTAGATGAAGCGTACGTTTCGCTTAAATTTTTAGCCTTTCAAGAATCTATTTGAAGAATAAATCTATAGTCGCCTGCGATGGTCACTTCATCGTCGTCCATTGCAGCAACTAACGCTTATTTGATCTATGATCGATAACAAGGAAGACCATCAACACCTGGATCGACGCGTCCAGAGGAAATTTTGCACTCATAGGCTCAGTGACATACGGGTTTAGAGGGTAGAAAAACGAGTGGCTTCAGTTACTTTAGAAATGGCATCGAATCAGGAAAATTTACTAAGTTACTCGTCAAAACAATGGTCCGAGTTGCTTGACGAAGAAAAAAGCATTTTTTACATAATTTAATAAAAATGTTTCCGCAAAATTCTTCAGAAATTTTGGAACAGCTGTATGGAAACGAAATGAAAGAGAACGATTTCGCGTTCGTTGTGTTAATGATGGTTATGAAAGGTTACGCGAACATTTACCATTGAGCGATGGGTAAACCTCTTTTTTTGCCAAAAAATTAAAACATTTTAATATTTTATTCTAGTTGCTTCTTTTTTCACGTTATGGTTCCATTCCCCTACTTTTCCTTTTTTTCTTCCAAGAATAATACTAATAACCACGTAATTGGAAAAACACTTCTGGAAGAGAGTACTTCACCCCAATTTTTGAGAAGGGTGATATCAAAATGTGATATCAAATCCCTCTCATCCAAACAATGTTATATACACTGAAATTCTAGTGGGACGTATAGATAATAAATTGTAGAATCTTGACATAATTTAATCCCATCTCACCAACATAAAAGATACCATTATACAAATTCTTTGTAATATCTGTGATTAGCTCTTATCAATCGTGGTCAACAATTTCTGTGCATTTTTGCTTAGGCTTTTTACGCAAATTACGTCAATATGAGTCATTATTCAATTAAATAATATTTAATTAATATTTATGTTTCATCCATTATTTTCAATTTCGCTTAATTGTTGATAAAATATACATTTAAAAATTATGGTGAAAGTAAATTGTACTTAAGCGTAGGTCGGAAACTTTGATTATCAACAAGCCTTTCGTCCGACCACATTTAAAATGCAACATTTCATTCTCTAAATTTTTCTCCTAAATTTAACACGTCCATTCAACTGCAAAAATATTCCCTTTCTTTTTGAATCCTAGTTTTCTCGTGAATTAACTTCTCGTGTATAAACTTACGAAATATAATTCAGATAAACTAAAAAAATGGAAGCACCGAGCGAAAGACAGGAAGTAGTTTTAAGTCACAATCTGCCTTTTAGATATATTATTTGCCCTACCGAAATATAAATTTTATCATTTTACCACTGAAGCTGCGCAAATCTATCTCCAAAATTAAACTGGCTGCACATAGTTCTTTCGCCCAACAATTCTTTCGCATGCAATAATTACTGGATAAGCTAGCATCCAAAGTAATTTTCACTCTCACCATATGCAGTTTTAAAAATAAAATTATGATGTCTTGAAATTCAATCAGCAGCTTCTTGCTTTTTATACTTTATTATATTTATTTCCCATATTAAAATTTTACTGTTATTTTGCCAAGCTGTACTCTTACAGTTGTGGTACAATTATAACGTTGCATCCTTCTCGAATAAAATTTTGTTTCATAAATAGATGATTTATATTTACGCGAAAAAGTTTACAGAAATCGACGAATCAGTAAAGTCGATACACTTCGACTGGCTATTCGTTATATTAAACATCTTGAAGCAATTCTTAACAGCAGTGATCACTGGTCACACTGTGAATGTTTCGATTCATTTCAAACGGAAAGTGAACAAAACGCTGAACGAATGCGCCAAATTGGTAGGAAACGTCGTAGTCCCATATGAATCCAAGGAATTTCAGATTTATAAATATTTTGAAAATAAAGAAAACTTAAATAAAAATTTATAATTAAATTATAAATTTTCAATTCGATGCTGTTCAAAAATGCAAGTAAATAAAATTAAAAAATATATATATATAGTTAAAAGTAAATAATGAATTGCCCAAGAAAATTAGAATAAATTAGATTGAATGTACTGTTTTTATAATTTTTAATAGGAATTAATTGAATCGATTAAACCTTCGACCAATTTACAAATATATCGATGCCAAATCGCGCTGTTAAATACAAAAAAATAAGCATCGATAACTTTGACAAATTTTGTTCAAAAAAAAATTATCAGTGAATAAATTCGATAAAAATATCGGTATAATAAATGCTAATAGAAATAAATTATAAGCAAAAAAGGATTAAATTAAATTACTTAACAAAGAAATTATAAACATTTTTATTAATAAATCAACACATAAATGATTTTTTTTCTATATTAAGAAAAACTGACTTTATCTGAGGGCAAATGACCAATATCACCTAACAAACGTAAATGAACATGACCGCTGGGTGTGATAATAATCCATGTTATTGAACAATTACCTAAGGACATACGCAACCATCCTTCAGGAGGAAACTGAAGTGCTCTAAAAAAATAGTTAAAAATATTTTGAAAAATATAAAAATATCTTATTAATAAGAGAAGTTCAGACAAAATTTTAAACACAATTTAATAAAAAGAACTGCTAAAAAATCAAAAAGGGCAAAAACATTTTTTTGTTTTTTATTTCCCCTTACACATATTTTAGGAAAAAATTTATATTTTTTATATTTTATTATAAAGGTAGAAAATTTATAGCCCAAAGATATGGTAAAAAACGTGCTAAAGACCCATCTATCTTGTCCCATAACCCTCAAAGGATCTCATTCAGGTAACCAACAAACTATCCGAAATAAAAATAAAAAAGGAAGATAAATATATAGAAAAATGATGCAAAAGGAGTATCAAAGAATGAATAAATTCAAAGGTCCAGCGAACAAAATACTAAGAAAAAAATGAAAAGATAAAAAACCTGCAAACGAAATATCTAATAACATTCGCATGACATACAATTATTTCGAAGCTATTTTTTGTTTGTTTTACGCTCGCACGGTGAATATATTTTCTAAAGGCCGCTTCAATTCTCGATCCTTCCGAAAAATACTAAAATCAGAAAAAATCACTACCACGTTTTTTATTAATTATAAACTAAACTTATGACTTATAAGCAATTATGAAGAAACCTCATAAAAAACTTTTTTTGAAAAAAATACCACAATCATTTCCATACTTCTTGAAAGTATTTTTATTAGATGAAGCCCTTCCATATTTCTTGAATAAGTTTATGATTTTATCAGACAAAGCAAAAATTAAAATAAACCTTGTATTTTGCGCTAAATGCGTTAGGAGGCTCTGGAGGATAAGGTGCTCCTTCTTCCAGAATGGTATCTGTTGTTGAAGGAATTGGAGGAAGTTCAGCCAAAATAAGTTCGGCAGTTTCCATTGCTCTTGGCATTGTTGACATGGTCAATTTATCGAATTTAAATTTACTTTCTGCTAACCTTTTGCCAAGAAGAGTTGCCTGTTCTCGACCTAAGATAAATAATAACTACATAACTGATGGACATTTGAAAAAAATTTTAAACAATTTTATAAATAAATGATGAATAGAAAAATATATCATTTAAAACGAATTAGGAATTCGATTCAAAATTCAAAAATTTAAAATACCAATCAGTTTCAGATGAATCACAAAAAAACCAAAACAAAATTAAATAAATCATTTGTGAAATATTTATTAAAAAAAAATAAAATAAACTATATAATAACCCAAAGGAGTTAATATCTTCGGTTTAGAATCCATCTGATATTGTCCATGCCGTATAAGAAAAATGTTACGCGTAGCCTTTGGTGTAAATTTAGCTAACATTTCCTGCTTTTGATCTTCGTTGAGATTCGTTCCATTTTCTATTAAATTTATTGGCTCTCGTCTGAAATTTAAAAAAGATAAAAGAAATTTTAATAAATTTTTATTATAGCCTAAAAAGAAATCGAAAAAAAAAACTGATATACAATGGGAGATAAAAATGTAAAAATAAAATATTTACGATGCAGAAAACTATAAAAGCTACAAATTTTATATTTGCAAAAATATTGATAAAAATTTCTCATTTTTAATTTTATTATACGAATCAATAAATATATATATATTTTTAAATAAAGGCAAATGTAATAAAAACAAACTCGTCCCAATTTTTGACCCATTTTTCACGAGGTAATCGATCGAAATAAGTAGTAGAAATTTGATTATCAAAGTCAATACTATTTGCAGGACGTAATTCAGCAAGAGTTAATCCATTTTCATATAACGATTTCGAATGTATTGAAGTAAGAAATGGTGTATTATTTTCATTTTTATATGATTTTAAAAGCTCGGTGAATGAATATTTCTCGTCATATATGGAACGAGTAAATAAATAGCCAGCAGCAGCAGATCCCATCGTTATCCACGCACATTTCCAAAATGCCATTGTTTCTAAAAATAAATAAAGTGGAAATAAAAAAGCCGAGCACTGAACATTTTTTAAACGATTCGAAAATAACCAGTCAGAAGTAAAAAAAGCAAAAAATTTGATAAATTATCTCTTAAAAAATAAAAATTAAACAGTGATAATTCGAAATTATCTAAAAATTGACCTATTCACAGAGCGAATAAATTTATAAAAAATTTAAAAACCTTTTTGTGAAATTAATTAAAATGATCAAAGAATAATCAATGATTAAAAAATTGGTGGGGTGAAATTGAAAGAAATTAAATTTTTTAAAATAACAAAATGCTTCAAAAATAAAATTAAACGGACAATGCCGAGTGCCCACCTGAATTTGCCTGAATTATTTTTTAATGACTTTTTGGCGATGGTTGCACTCAAAGTGCAGTCAGCTAAAGCAGAAATATTTGATGGTGTTGATGGAAGAATGAAAATAGAAGTTACTGATGAATAAGTAAGATTCATACTTTTAACCACTTTTGAAATAAGAATTCGACAAATTGATAAAAATTAACTAAGCAATAAAAATGAAAAAATAACTGAAACAATTTAGAATAACGAATTATTACAACAATTTTAACTCATCAGTTTTAGCTGTTAACTATTAATTTTCAGTCTATTGAACTGTTTCAACTGTTGAATAACTCATATATCAAATATTTATTCGAAAAGAATGTAATTCAATACGTTTCACATTCGAGGCAAATTCGAATGGTCGTTGTAAAACACCTATAATTCTAATGCGAAACGATATCCAATAGCAACAATTTCTAACCCTACTAATGACCTGCGAAGCAAGGAAAAGCAAAAATGGCATTAACTACTCACTTAACTTAATCAAGATAACAGTTATAACAATAAATAAAAGTACAAAAAATATTTAACTGAATAATAATAAGTTAATAAAATATAATCCTGGGATTTTCACGGTTATACCAACTAAGCACAACCAAAAGCATCTATCGTATTAATATTATAATATTAAAAAGATCCATTCTACAAATCCTATGAGCAGAATCTACTACTCACGAAAATCTTGGAACTTTTTACATCTCTTCGACATCTCTCAACAACATTCCGAATCCTGCTATATTGCCTTTATTTCCTCACCAAATCATTGCTCTCCTTAAACACCTTTCCTCCATATGACTACTTCTTCTGCTACCACTTCTAAAACGGTACTCTTTAATAACATCTTTCTATCCCAATATCTTAAGATACTCTTTGGTAATTTTTCAACTTTCAGCTGCGAATGTGACATAGATCTGACGCTCTTAATGAAACGAAGCTGCGTGGTATTGAAGAGTTATGAGCGGATCTAAGGAGACTAAAGCGGGCAAAAGTTGTTCAAAAATGATATTACGAAAAGAGATAGAGTGAATTTGGAATAACAGATTTTAATCGGAGACTTCAACAGGATGATAAGGTGATTTCTCGCGTTGGGTGTACCAGCCGAACATTTAATTATTGGACAAATTCTGGAATGTGAAATCCAAGTTTAGGGATCTAAATCGATATCGAAAACGAGAAAAAATAATTCAAAACCGAGAAAACCTTCTAAGTCGCAATTAAACCAGCTTTTATCAGCCATTCACTTGGTAATTTGGCTGCTAACTATTAAAACATAATTATTTAACATTAAAAATTGTGAAATGTCTCTGCTCTTTTCTCTTTTTCCCTGATAAAAGGTAAATATTTTTTCCAAATTTTTGGTCTTATTTAAAGAGATTTGGGACGAAAATACTTAAACAAGGACTAATAGTTGGTTTTTGTCCGAATTTCGAAGTGATCAAATAATGGGAGTAAACCTATCCTGAAATTCGGATGGTCCTAGAAGAATCTGCCTGGTCCGACAAGCCAGCGCTGCGAGTCCGTCGAGAAACTGCCCACTGAAGAAAACATTAAACACAAGGATAAAGAAGTACCAATACAACCACTCTTCCCCGATTTAACGAAAATCGCCTCCTCTTTTATACACTCTTTTCCCCTCTTTAACCCCACTTTTGCCAGAAACATGCTTCAGCAACACAACACAAAGCGGCGTTAAACAACAAAAATATTAGACGAAACGAGAAAATATTTAGAAATCCATCACTAAATTGCAGCCGAACCATAGTGATAGCACTATTTTTCGGAGTTTAGGAATTGAGAATTTTTTTATGATTAATTTTATTACTTTGTTTTTCGATGATTTTTTATCGTTTGAATTGTATTGATTATCGTTCAATTATTCACTTTAATTAACTTTAGTGTTTTTCCTTTTTTATTTTTAATTTCCACAATTCTTTGCTTTTTTAGCGTTTAGATTGTTCAAAACTATTTAATTAGCACAAATAAGAAGAATTTCCCCTTTTCGGTTTCTTTCTTCGTTTGAAATATTTTTAAAATTACTTCCGAGTTTTATTTCGAATAAATTTTTTGAAAAGGGACATTTCTGTGGAATATTATTCTTTTATTTATTGTATGGCTTTAAGGGCGTTGAATAGGTGTCATTTTCCTCGAACTTCTTTACTGCTACTTTGACCGCCGTTTTGTGGCGGTGGGAGAGAATGCAAGTTTGAGGCGGTGAGTAAAATAAGAGACAAAGAGAAAGAGTTAGGGAATTATGGGCAGAGGAGCGATTGGCGAAAAGATGGGGCCCGTCACCTCCGCGGTGCTGCCTACATGTATGTCAGCTTATCGGTAAGCGTCTCGTATCTCGTACGCTCTAAAAATTTCGATTATCTCCATCAATTAACATTTATTTCTCTGAGTTCTCTCTTTAAATATTTATTTTTTATTATCATTTATTGAGGAGATTGAAAATTTGAGTTCGACCAATTTTAGATAAGTTTTATGTGCTTTTTCTGAAATGATTAGGATGGTCGATGACGTTTTTCGGCAATTTGGCAATCTTTCAGTTAATCAAGGTAAGTAATATTTGAAACTTTTCTTAAACTGTATTTATAAACTATTATTTGAGTTATTGCTTGTTTTCTCTTTATTAATTTGCACCTTTTTGAAAGTTTGTTTAAATTTTCTGATTGTCTCTCAAAAATATGTGTGCGGAGATATAGTTGTTGTACTGTTCGGTAAGGGAAGCAGTAACTTTCAGTTGTTCAGTGGTAAGGAATCATTAGGGCAGAATTATAAGTAAATTAAGTTACTATAAATTATTGCTGAGATAATAGCAAGGGAGTAAGCAAAGGACTTCTATCGACAAAAAAAATCATTAAAAGAATAGTTTGGAGGAGAGGATGAAAAAATGAGGTGGTTGATTCAGACAAATGAGGTGGTGAGTTGTGGGTGGATAACTACGTGATATGCCGAGTGAAATGAGCGCAGACTCGGTGACGGAGAAGAATAGGAAAGGGAACATGAGGGGATTTTCGTTGGCTACTGACTAAAATAAAAGAAAATTATTATTTATTTGAAGTAACCACGCAGGGCGACAAGTGCCATGCGCTTGTTTGTATTAATGGCAACAAAATAAGGCTAATGAAAAGATGTTATTGATAAAGAAACAAAAGGACCGAATGTTAACATATAAAGAGAAATAAAACGATAAAGAGTATTTCGAATAACTCAAGTCGAACTGAATGTATTTCTGACACATATTCAGATCATAAATGGTCGCGATCTCAAACTGCCTTTATGATGTGAACCTTTTAAATAATGTCATGGATAATATCATTTAATCTTTTTTTAAAAATAGCTAAGGAAGATGCACAGATTACGTCATTCAGCAGTTTATTCCACTAATTATGGTGCAAATGAAAACGTCGCACGCCCTTAGTTTAGTTTCATTTAGATTTTGATAATTTTAGCCCATTAAATCTCGTCAGGTTGAAATTTGGCCTAAAATTGTGTTTTCAACAATCTGATTTGTCATAACCACATACGTATAAATTAAATTTTGGTTAATTTAATTAAAAGTGAATTGGGGTTGTTTTTAGTTGACATGCTTTATAACTGATATTGCTAATAGATTAATTTGCCTACCATATAACCAGTTGATAACTTTGGTGATGTCATTAATATAAATAACATAACAATATTAATAAATAATAAAAAGTAATGGTGCAATACAACTATCTCGAGGGGTTCCTGATTTGATTGGAGCCAAATCTGAAAGAGTGATACGTATAACTTTTAAGTAATCTGATATCCAGTTATGTAAGTTGCCTGTAATGCTATAGCGATTAATGGTCACCGAAAACTCACTGTGGGAAAGAGTATTAAATGCTTTGACTGGTGATGCCGTTTTTCCATTATCAACTGATACTGACTAGTTTGTCAATATAAGAAGTGAATTTCTTCGATTAAAAGCCATAGGAGAATGAGGAGTTGGTAGGAGAATATTAAATTATTGGCACTGCAACTTCATTTCAGTACTTTACTGCTTATATTATGTTAATAGGCATATAATTAGAAGGATCATATATTTCCTTTCAATGAATGGGAACTATATGGGATAATTTCCAAATTATTGTATTCCTCATAATATCTTTGCTAATAAAAAATAGAGGAAGGGTTAATGAGAATGTGCTTTTTTAAAAAATATTTGTGGAATATTATCTGCAGCAGTTATAAATGTATGGTTTGATTTATTTACGACGCCATAGACGTCTAAGAATTATATCAATCTCGCTAAAGGAAGCTCAGCAAGTTCGTTTTTCACTGAAAAGATTGCTTTTAATATTATCATCAACAACTAGGAAAATAGTGATTAGATACATTTGCGACATCAATGATGGAAACGAACACATCAATCACATTATCATTGTGCTGCAGTTATTTATTTATTCGTGGACATGCAAATTTTTTTAAAATGTCGGTCTTGAAAAGTATTTAAGAATAGCAAACGGAATTTTGTCGTTAGTTCATTCATCTTTATCAAAAATTTTGCTGATTTACTGATTTTATGAAAAATTTTTCTTTCATTTGGATTTACACTGGTTTATTAGTTTTAAAAGTGTTATTCTTCATTCTTTATATGCAGAGAGATCGCATGGTAATTTGGTTAATTTATACTTCTACTTCTTTACAATTTTTTAAAGAGATTTTAAAGGAATTGACCCAATCCCCTTTTTTTAAAAGAATATAAGGTAAAATATGGTTTTATTGAGGAAATTAACTTTACCTCAACCTAACAATTACAACATCTAATATGTGATGTGCCTAGTGGTTGATAACTGTTCTAAACCAGTATAAATACAAAAGTTTAGAAAATCTTCCTCAAATTTGCTGTTGTTCTTATAATTATTTTCTCATCCTATGTTTGGCATATTAAGATCACAAATAATGCATAATTACAACCATATAATTTTAATTTAATAAGTTGTATGGATCAGTGGAAAAATAATCATAGCCTGGCGGGCGACATAGATTTAGGAGAGAAATATTTTTATTAACAAGATAATCATTTTTAATCATTAATCAGAAGAGAAAGAAATATAATCACCAATAATTCCATATTTATAATGATTGGGAATAAATGTTATAAGTCCACCTCCACGTGTATTCAGACCATCTGTTCTGTTCTGTCCTTACATATTATTTCAAATCTCCGAAGTTTATCCCACGATTATCAGCAAAATCATTCAGCCACGTTTCATTGGTACAAAAAATATTATATGATTCGCCTATTATAAGAGCTGTAGATCAAACAATTTATATTTTTAACTTCTAGCATTAAATATATGTAGAGACAAATAATGCTATTAACCCTGCTTGGCCAACTATACTAAGGTGTTGTATTCTGAGCAGAGAGGAAAAATGAGAGACAAATGTCCATTGTTCCAAACCATTGACGAGGTTGACTTAAACCCGATTGAAGATTTCTTACCACGTTTCTTAATATTAAAATTCTAGTTATGAAAGTAATTCTTTTCGCAATTGCTTATCTAATATTTGTTTCATTTTAGTTAAATCCTTTCGCAAAAAATTCCAATTGATAGGATTTACATTGATAGGATATAGAATTGATAGGATTGAATTTATTGTGCAAAACAGATTTGACTAGATGTCTCTCTTCAAGTCGAATTTTGAATACTCGCGAGCTAGCAAATCCTTTCTTTCCAAGTTAATGAACTTCCATGATATAATTAGTATTGATTCCAGCGGTTGCGACAAGCTCTGCCAGCAGCCTATCGGTATTAGTTTCATCTTCCATAAGTTTTTCTAGAATATTTAAACGAGCTAAACATGGCTCCTTTTTTTCAATGTATCGATAGTTTGATCAGTCGTTTTGTGGAGGTTCTCGAAAGAATTCTGGCAGGAGTGGTATTGTTCACCACACTTTCAGATTATTTATTTTACTCCTGAGTTCCTCGTTGATCTTGGTGAGTGATTTGACTGAATTTATTATTAGCTGAGAAATTCTTGCTACTTTTCATAATTTTCATAATTTTCAGTAACAATTGTGAATCTCAAAGCTAATAATTTTATATAAGCGACTTACATCTTTATTTGATCATTATTATCGACATCGTTATTTCCTTTTTGGAGCCATTTTTAGTAAATCTTCCACTTAAACATAAATAAACACGATAAGATAAGTAAAGTATCTCTTTTAGAGCAATAAGATATATATAAACATAATTTAACAAGAGCAGTAACTGATACGCCGTACACGATTGCGACAAAACATTTTGTATGCATATTTCCATTTATTCTTAGTTTTTGATCACTGGCCTAGTCTTGTAGAAAGATTTAAAAATATAAAATTGGGCTTTGTTTTATTCGATTTTCTGTTGAATTCATTTATTCTATAAGACAGTTTAATTGAAAGATTCAAGGTGATTTTTTTTCAAAGATTACTTTTTTTAACAACATTTTATCTTTTTATCATTAAAATCTGTTTCATTTTTTTATAATCTGTTTGAAATTTTTTTTTCGAGAATATTTCGAAAATATTTTTAAGGAATATTTTCGTCGAACAAAACGCCAACCATATTGAAATTATTGTCAAATTCTACTCTGCATTTAGACTGCCTTAATAATTTATTACCATTCAAGCATTCCATCTGTCAGCAAAATAAAATTTTATCACAATTAAGTGCAAAACTTATAAAACGGGAATGCTTATCACGAAATGTAATTTCTTTTCATTTACCTACAGTTCAGCGAATCCCAGAGGTATTGCTTTTTCTGTTTATAGCGATAATTAATATCGTTATGAGTAGTAAATAGATGTGAGATGGTGACAGTAATAGAGATAATGACAATAACAATGAGATATGTTGGCGATAATAGCAGTGGTAAGAAGTAAAAATAAGATTAATATTAATATTAATTAATAAAACAATAAAATAAAAATAAGAATGATGCGTATTTCTAATAAAGTATTAAAATTAATTAATAATATTGGCAATAATTAATGATTTCTTTTGATAAATCGTATAAAATTTTTGATTTTTTGAATTACAACTGAGCCAGCAAAAATTAGAATAAGCACAATTTTTTGCAGATTTATACTTTTCCAGCCTTTAGTCAGTCTCCCATTTATCTGCCAATGCCAAACGCTTTAATATCTGAACCATTTGAAAAATTCGATCCACTGTCGCAAAAAGTCAGTTTTACTTCTGCGGTTGAAATGCATTTAAAGTACTAAAACATTTTGAAACAATTTTCAAAGATATTAAGAAAAAGTAAAATTAAGATGACAACAAATCACAATGGTCTAAAAGCGACAATAACTAATGATAATCAATCTTCAGAACACTAAGCAGATAATCAGTAATGATAATCATAAACGACAATATCAAAAAATTATAATATTATAGTGATATAATTTTGCAATATAATAATAACAATAACGATGTAATAATAAAATAATAGTGGGATAATAAAATAATACTATTAATAATGGGAAAAATTATTTTTCTGTTGAATGATGGAGTGATCGATGAAGTTTTTTTTATTTTAAAGGCTCCTATAAAGGAAATACCTTCGAAATCGATTCTTGAGATTCATGCTTCTCCTAGACTTTTAAGAATTCGCAAGCGGAAAATGCTTAAACATAAAAGAAGAAAGCGAGCGAAAAGAGATGCAAACAAATATGCAGTTTATCATCGTGAAAAGAAAGCAAGGGTGATTTTCTTATTTTTTTCAAAAATAAATTTTTGCTTTTTCATTATTTTTTAAGTTTCACAGCCTGAATATCATTTAACCTTCAATTAGACAATTCTCTAATATTCTTCAGATTATAAGATTTTTAACATTCTTTTAAACGTTTATCGAATTATTTTTGGTTGGTATCAAGTAACCAGTAATCTTTCTCTTTTTCATTGTCCAATAAATTCCATTTCATTGGATTCAAATTCCATTGGAAATTCCTTTTGCAACTCTGCGTATTTATTTAATGATCTTTGACGATTGAAGGCAGAGAAAACTTTCCGTGGAATTATGCAGGCAAAAATTAAGGAGTTAAACTCTTTCGATCCGGAAGTTTACGTGAAAAATGTTATTCAAAGGTTCATGTTCTAGATTTATGTAAATATTTTTTTGATTTAAACCTTTTGATTTAGTATCATCGTTTTCTAAGTTTTCCTGGTACGTGAAAAGGCATTAAGACATTATTAAAGGCATAAACCTATATTTAACAGATTTGTTTAACAGATCTTTCAAATAATCTATTCATCACTTTTATTTTTCAGAGCTAAACAAGAATTGCCTTCGCAAATTAATGAATCTGGCAGAAAATTTTATCCTCATTGGTCTACTGTTGTTTCATTGGAGGAACTTTATGGACTTCCAAAAGGAGACTATATTGATAAGCGATTCGGTTTAGCAAGTAATGAAGATGTGGAAACAATTGAAAAGTTGAAAGACAAGTACAAACAGCTATATTCAAAATTCGATAGTAATGGTGATAAAAGTTCCAATCCTTCATGATCAAGCTTGGTTCATGATTTTTATGCAGTTCGTTTATCAGTAAATTGTAAGCATTTATTAAGAATCTTAAAAATCTGGTTTGCAAGTACAAATTATCACATGTGAAAATCACAGTTATATCCAATAAATGTCGAAAGAGACATGATCTTTTATGGAAATGTTGAATTGCATCTTCTTACCATAATTTCAACTGGAAAAAAAAAATTTAGGATACGCTATCATTTAAATTGCAAATTGCATATTATTCCAACCAGTAGTTTAATACTTTCTGTCTTTTCAGCTATTTTCTCCATCTTATTTTTTGCTATCAATATCATTTCAACTTTCGCCAGTTCTTTTTTCTAACCGTCGACATACTGAAATTATAAAAATTATAAAATACTTATTAAAATACTTATTAAATTATTAAAATAAATAAATTTAGTTTTATCTATTCTTCTTTACCATTTTTTCCCCTCATTACGAGAATCTTGTACGACAGTTTGGTATTTATGTCCGATATGCCATGGTGGATCATGTAGATAATTCCTTTTAAAGATATAATAATTAAAAATTTTTAATGCTTCATGTGAAAATAATAATTTGCACTCAGTTTGCTGTTTGAGTAAAGGCTTGCGATATTTTTCTAACAGAAATATTTCAAATATATCAAATACGAAAATATAAAGGAAATCTTAAACTTTCCTATTCGAAGAAATGTTGGGAAATGATTTTGAATGCATAGACAGGCCAGCGAAGTATGGATCAGAAGTAGAACAGTAACTTTAACTTTCTGAATTTCTTTGGCTGTCGGATTTCCAGTTTAGGTTCCAATTTCTGTAAGTTTTTTGATATGGTCGATTATAGGCTGTTCATCTTCCAAGTAACCAGTCCTATCGAATGTATGCTTCTTTAATTTGTTGACATGCGGCAGGGCAAATTTTGTTCAGCTTCAAGGCTTCAAGGTAAATTCATGCAAAAGGTTCATATACTGGCGAACACCTATTAACATTAGATGAAACGATTATTTAATTTTTTACATATTTTCTGTTCGAAGCCATTTTATTGAATGTGTTCTTTTTATCAAACAATTACTCCTTTCTATCATTTTGGGAGATTCTATGATGAAAATTTACATCTTTATTTTTTTTTCTTTCTCTAAGAACAAATCAGCACTTTTAAAGTTTACGAACGGAAGAAGAAAGTAGTGAAGAAAAGGACTGTGGGGTACTTTGTCATCAACAAATATTTGAAGAATCTATTCTTAGGCTTCGAGAGGAAGGAAATATGGTTTCCATCAGGTTGCTAAAGGCGCAAGAGAGGTTCAGAACACATCTTTCAAGTTGACAATATAAGAAAGAATCATAACCTTCAAAACCCAGTGAAGAATCCGAGTCGTCTTCATAGTGGACTTAAACTTACTTGTGCATTCTCAACTATATCTTCATTAAATACAGCTTCTTTTACTTCAATCGATAGATTTTGACTTTCTGTTTATCCCATTTTCGTTTATTCGCAAAAGAATGTATCCAATTATATATTATATATCGCATTGCATACAGAACAGCGTCAGATTTTCGCAAGTAGAAAATCATGAAATTTTCTTACTTGTAGTTTAAATCGCAAAAAATTATGGGAGACGAAATATAAATTAGTTTCCTAATTGATACACTTATAGAAAATATTTTCTGATAAGGAAAAATATGTATTTGCACTTCGTTCTCATTTTTAACATAGCTTGCAATTTCCAAAGGAAATTTTTAAACTTCTGCACTTCATAATTTCCGGTGGTTCTCGTAATCTTTTTTCAGGCATATTAAATTTTGAAAAGAAAAGCGAAGTAAAATTGCGAATTCACTTCGATTTCTTCGATTCGACGTCAATAGAAGCGAGAAGCGAGAAAATAGAATAATAAATAATAAAAAATTTATTTTTTTAAGCATCATTTTTGGCCTCAGTTATTTAAAACTAAAATTTTTTTGAAACTATTAAGTATTTTCATAAGTTCGCAGCGCTGATTAATTTTATGAGGCGATTCCAAATGAACTACTACCGATTTAAATTACTATATTTTATTCATATTTACATTTTAGTGTTAGATTTTACTGCGTAATATTGTATTATGGCTACTGATAAGCGGATAAGATACAGTATTCCTTCCTTTTTTGTTTTCGAAAAAGCGCGAAGAAATGGATTGATGGAGTTTGTGGATACGGAACAGTTGGTAATAATACGAAATAGTTTGGAAAAACCAGGGAAGACTTTAACCTTCAAAATAGGCCAAAGGTAGCCAAAACATGGAAGTTTGCCACGATTTCAGGCGTTATTTAAAGAGGAAGAGTTGGAATTGCACAGCAAGAATATTCATTTACCGATAGTGTGAAGAATCCACAAAGTAGAGTGAAAATAGGTGAAATTGGAATAAAATTGGAATAATGGATTAGCGGCTTCTTCTAATAGCTCTCACCATTAGACTGGCTTGGCTGGCTACAAGAGTAAGACGTCTGGTCGGACGCCATCGCTGAAAGTAATAAAACCATTCCTTTTTCCATCGTTTAAGTCCATATGTTGATGATCCTGTACGTTCAAAATCTTTCCTAACCGTATCAGACAAGTTCTTGATTGGCCCACCTCGCTTTTGACGCCACCCATCACGGGGTTTAACAAATAACGAAATATGTGTCAATTTCTGTGGGCGACAAAGAACGTGTTCTTACCAGCGAAGGCGACATTCTATGATAGCACTGCTAATGCAAGTGGCATTTGAAAGAAGATGAATGTGATCATTGAGATTTTATCCACTCGTCGAATCCGTAAAATGTATCTTAGATATGAATGGTTAAAGTCAGATAATTTCTTAATATTCTCCACTCTCATGTCTCACAGCAACACAGCTATATATAGATGCGTGGGATAGAATGGCTCAGTGGATTGTTGCTCAATTGGGAACATCGATGCTGAACTTCGATTCTCAGTAGGAGTAAACCTGTACAAAACTCTGGGTGATGCTGGTGATGCCTGTATCTCTATCGCCACAGGACTCCAGGCATATTGCCCAATGCGAGAAGCCAGTGGAGCGAGTTTAACCAGTAATGGTGAGGACTCTTAAAAAAATATATATATAGATGCGGAAGAAAAATTTCAAAAATTCGAATCTTGAGAGGTTGTATCTCTATTCCATTGTTATTTTTTTATACTTTAGAATTTATATAACAAGTTTTTTTTTACAGCCAAGTTTTTTTTAAATTTAAAAAGCAAACAATTGAAATAAAATATATATATATATATAAAATTTATAATAATATTATAAAATAATATAACATTATGTCTGTCTTTGACAAAAGTAAACCTGTCATGTCAAAAATCCGGTTGGCTACTGGGACCTACCTGTAACTTTATCCCCAAGTATGGTAAAATTCTTGATAACGACTAACTAAAATATAATCAATCACTCCGGTTAGAATATTGGTTATCCGGAGAGTTCCACGTGACTAGCGCATGTTTTCCCAGGTTTATACGAAATCAATTCAGATGAGCCAGCCTGAAATTGGTGGTGCAACTGTTTTTATTCCGATTAAAGCAACAGTTCTGCCTTCGAAAATTTGAAGCCGTAGAACTTGCCTTATATCATTATTTTGCAATTTTCATTTGTTTACCGACCTCATCATCCCATATTTTTGTTTATCATATAAAAAATGCTGAATTTTTTTCAGAATAGCGCACTATTTTGGTACAATTTAGTGCGCAATGGTGAAAGAGACCACAGAACTCAGCATGCAGCTTGTCCGGTACTTGTATGTTGATAGATAGATACTTCGGTACTAGATCTTTTCTCATACGCCAGAAGTTTTAGTAATAAAGGGCTCATGCTGTGCGGCAAAACTAAGAAAAGGTTCTCCATTGGTGCATCGGATGCCATATTTATCAATTACTGAGCTTATGGCGGCATCGTGCATGCATTCGCGTACATTCCAGTCTCCTCCAATTATGACCATTCACTTCTCGGTAGAGATATTATTAACATTTGAAGCTCCGCGTAGAACTTATCCTTACCGCGGTCATCTGCGCTTAAGGTTCTAGTATATGCCAAAATATTGCAGAATTTCCCTTTGAAACGAACCATATAACCATATAAGCCATATAATCGTTTACCACTTTCCACTCAATCAAATCGAAGTGGGTCTTTTTAACCATGACAATCATTACCATTTCGCCCCGAGTTACCTGAAACACCGCAATGATGTATCCAGTATCTGCTCAGAGCCAGATTTAGTAATTGCACGAGACTCAAAATGAGAAAGACGGACTTTCGACAAGCTGTCAACATCCAACGATATTTAGAAAGAGTGTGAACAGCAATCGTTTGGCTTGCGACGTCCATAAGCATTCCACACTGCAACGGCTAACGCCTCACCGCGCCTGCAGAGCGCAGTTTCTCCTGACAGGTTTCGAGCAGTTATCGTGGTTCGCGTGCAGATCATATTCTTAAGTCTTGAGATGAGATTTTTTCTTCTCTTTTTATGTCTCTTATTTCTCTTTTTGTTGGATACTAGAACTTTTTTGTGGGAGATCACTGGAGGCAAGAATTGGGTATATGCCGAAAATCATGGTTTTGAACCAACGGGGAACTAATTGCGAAACCAACCTATAAAAAAACGAAACTTTTACTTGTCAATTAGAAACGACCGTTGCATCGCCAGTTTCAAAGGCAGCAGTCGAAGAAAAATTTCCATTTACATGACAAGAAATTGGGCAAATAATTCTTCTCACATAACAACCGCCAACGTGGCAATGTGAACATAAGGAACCATTTTGGAATTAAATTGGGAAGTTCGTCAGCACCCATCTTTTTAGATCAACGCAACATTGCTTGTCCGGTGAGTTTTAAAGATATGAACAAGGTTCGAAATTTCATCGATGCCTTTTTTGATTCGAAGCCAAAGTAATTTTATTATGATATTATTCACTTGATGCTATTTTATTTTATACGATATTTATTTGGATTTGTTTAAAACATTACA